CTGCTAGGCCCCATGCAGGTGAGCCCACACCCTTCGGGCTCCCAGCCCACTGGACAACTATCCTCCATGGCAGACACGGGCCCCCCCACCAGGGCAGTGTGTCCAACTGGTGGTGGGGGGCAGTGCCTTGCAGATTGGCTCTTGGGCTGTCCTGACCTGGGGGACCCACTCCCGCCTGGCTGTCTTGCTATGCATCCCTGCCCCTGCTGCTGAGCTGGTCTGGGTGACCTTTTGGGGCCCCAGACCTGGAGCCACCTGCAGGGTGCAGTCCTTGGTCCTGGAGTGCCAGGGTGCCCCTTTCCTCAGTGATGGCTGGCTTGGCCCTGGCCCAAATGGGCACCGTTCCCTGGCAGTGTCCAGGGTGGCTGTCCCAGCTCTCAGAGCTGAGCGGGACCCAGCTGGTCTCCTAGAGCTCCAGGCTGGCCAGCCTGGGGACAGTGGTTAGCAAAGGCCATTCCCTGGCCACAGGGTGGCCCACACAGGGAGATGGGTGATGTCCATCTGGACTGCAGGTGTTGGGAAGAGGGCAGAGAGAACTAGGGTGCAGACTGGAGATGTGGGTGGGGGAAGGGCTGCACAGAGGGAGGGCCTGCAGTAGGACTCCAGAGGCCTGAGGAGTCCAGGCTGTGGGACGACTGCTCCCACCACTGGGCTCATCTGCCTTACTGGGAAGAGCCTGGCTGGGGGGAAGGCAGCCGGAGCCCAAGCCCCGCCCAAAGCCACCACTGCCTGTTGGAGAAAGGCCGGGGCTGCTGTCAGAGCTGCTATGGAGCGTGGGTGGGGGAGGCAGGCCGCCCCAGTCTTGGTGACACGTGGGACATGGGGCAAGAATGGAAACAGTGAGTGTGGCTGGCTCGGGTGGGTGTCGGCCTCATGGGAGGGTGAGGTGCGAAATGCTGACTTGGCAGGGCCACTGCGCGGCTCCAGGTTCCTGTCTGAGCAGGTGGTCGCTGGTGCCTGAGTGACGGTGGGCTGCCTCCAGCCGGGGCACCTCTTCCTCTCTGTGCACTCCGGCTCTTGCCTGGAAGCCCGGCCGCACTAGCCGGGCAGCTCTTGGTTACGTTAGTGTTTTCCATACCGTCTGTGCTCTGGAGTCATTTAAGATACTTGATGTTAAGATACTTGATGTTTTCGAGCCTTTTCGCTTTACAGAGAGAGTGGAGGAAGTACAGCACGTTCCAGTTGCCCCTCCTGCCAGACTGTTCTCGGCTAGGGATGGCTTGTGTGGGCGTGATACATTGTAACCCTCGATGAACAGATATGGTTACGTTGTTATTAACTAAAGCCCAGAGTTACCCCACCCAAAGGGGATGCTGCAGAGTGCTGTGGGTTTTGACAAAAGGGTCGTGTCACATGTCCACTATTACAGCATCCTGTACACAGCTTCCCTGGCCGGGCCAGCTTGACACGACACTAAGGAGCCCCATGGTAGCTTTGGGGACAGCGGCTTGTCCTCAGTCTCCCTTGTACTTCCCACAGGACTTGAAGCGAACCATCCATCCAAGGAGCCCTGGTCCCCTGTCAGAGGAAACAGTGTTCGCATCATATCTAACCCTTTTCCACGAGCAGAGCTGATAGGATTTTTCAAATGGCGAAAAAAAGAATGCGTTCACACTATTTTCCATTTCAAACAAAATTACATTTTTTTTTTTTTTTTTGGTTAACTTTTGACTTTTATACTTACGGTAAATATCTTGGTTCCTCACAATAACAAAATCAATTATCTGACTTATTTTACAGTCAGTATGCACCACCAACTCTACTGACGGTGATACTACCACGTGGAGTTGAGAGGAGGAGGCCATTGATGTGTGTGCCCATGACCATGGTGTAAAGTTACGCCTCCATGTCAGCTCAGCTGGAAACGTTCTTTGCTTGTGGTGGGTATGTGACCAACAAGACACACAGTTAACTCCATCCGTTTGTTGGGAACTTTCAGGGATGGTTCTTTGGACTTCTTTGAGCACGTGAAGACACTTCCTCGATTTCACTGTAAAGCTGCCCTAACCAGGAACACGCAGAGAAGACCTTCCCCCTCCCACCCTGGTCTCCGACCACCTGTACCTTGTTGCTTCACACTCGGCTGCTGACAGAAAGGTTAGGGTTCACATTCACCGAGAGGTGCCTCAGAAGACAGCCCTGGCCGTCTGCTTCCACAAGAGCAGCCATGGAACACTGATACACATGGGCCCGCCACGGGTCGGAGCTGACACGATCTGGCACGTGTGGGCCCGCCACGAGTCGGAGCTGACGTGAGGACAGCTATTCATCCTTCCATTGTATCTCTTCACAAGCAAACACATTGGTGGTCCTCTAGCCCCCCACCCTTCCTCTCTCCGCTGGGCTGCCCATCTCAGAAGTCCCTCTGTCTGTGCTCAGGGAACTTGAGGGCTCCGACAAGTTCCCTCCTCCACTCCGGGGCTTTAGCTCTTGCACATCTGGCTTGTGGGCTCCTCCCGCTTGTATTTTTGCCCATGACCTGGGGAGGTGTTTCTGTGGGGGCTTGACTGTCTGAAGGGTCACAGCCTCCGCGACGGGGCTGGAGGGGGCCCAGTCTGCCTTCCAATCAGCACGTCCACTGATGGGGCGCAGGCAGGCCTCTTTCCCCAGAGCCTCGGCTAGGTGAGAAATGACACCTGGGTGGTTTTAATTCGCAGTTTCTTATTATGAGTAATATTGAACATCTTTTAATTCATGGTACACACCTGTCTCTGCAGGAATGTGTCTCTATGTATATGAGTCTCTATTAGTCTACATTTTTATTTTGTTTATTTTTTGTGAGCTGCCGGGGCACAGTGCCTGCTCACATCCCTCATGGGCTTTTGGCCCTGCCTGTGTTTCTGGGGTTGGCCGTTTCGTGTGAGGAGGGTTAGGCTTTTGTGGGATGTACTACAAGGAGTCCCCCAGCCACACAAACACTTTTTTTTTTCCATCGAGAGAGTTCAACGTGTCCATCTGTGCTCTGGCAGCCTCTGGAGTGTGAGTCATGTTTAGGGGAGGTGTTCCCTCCCAAATACAAAGGAATGCACCCATTTGCTCTGACTGCTGACTTGGTGTCAGTCTTTGATACGTGTACGTCTGCTGCCTTTGGGATTTGTGCTGGGGTCCGGTGTCACATGTAGGTCCAAGCTAAGCCTTTCCTGCGCAGTTACCAGTGTCCCTATGTGACTTACTCAAAAGCCTGTGTTTCCCCCATGCGTGTGGGAGCCGCCAGCACCATTGCCCAGGCTACCCTTCCTGCGGCTAGCTGATCTAGTTACAGGAAGTTTTGTCGGGGAAGGCAGACTGTCTTCACTCTGAGTTTTCTCAAGTGTTACTGACTTGTTTCTTTTTCCATATGAAGTTTGTAATGAGCCTGTCTTGTTCCGGAAATGCGGATTTTTATTAGGATCTTGGTAAACCAACCAACACTGGCAGGAAGTGACAGCTCTACAATGTTGACTCAGCTCAGCCCAGACGTGTGTTTCCACTGACGGGGCTTGGTGCGGGTGGGAGTTCTCGCAGGCGATTTGCACCTGTCTTGGTGAACTTGCCTCCTGGCACTTTCTCTTTCCTGCTGCTTAGCCGAGTGGGGATGCAGGAGAGGCGTTTTTTTTTTCTGAAGCTAACGGTCACAATCTTTGCTTGACTAAGCCTCCGTATGGCTTGTGGCGGTTTTTCCCTAGAGCCAATGGGCTTTTTGGAATGGCCAGTGTCCCTCTGGTGCCAGGTCTCAGCCAGCCCTGTCTCGCTTGAACCTCCAGGACCATGTGTAGATGGTGGTGGCATCTCTGTTCTGTCTCTTGCCTCAGGCACCAGACATGATGGGGGTGTGGGGGTGTGTGTCTGAGCACCTTGGAGAGGCTGCTACACCACGTGTGTGTGGAGGGTGAGGCTTGAGGGGCGGTTCGCTGCAGTTGTCAAGGACACAGGCCAAGGCCTGGCCAGCATCACGGATCCCTCCCCGAGTCGAGTGTCTGGGAGACGGGAGCACCCTGTCCCCAAGATGGTTGCGTCCTGCTCTTCTTACCTGGCTGTCTAGGCCCCAGGCCTGCTCTGGAGGGACCTCAGGAGGGGGACTGGAACAGGGCAGATGACAATTCACAGGACACCAGGGCAGGCTCATGTGGTCAGGGGCGGGGGCCCTGGGCTCAGAGCCGGGATGTCCAAGAGATTTCATACTTTGGGGTATGTGGTGTGGGGGACCGTGGAGCAAGGTCAAAGAGGCCTCCAAGGGGACAGGGAGGGGCCTGAACCTGGGTCTGACTCAGCTGGGGCTTCAGGGGCCATGACCTTCTCCCCTGGACCTCAGCTCACTCAGAGGCAGGCTGCCTCCCCCTCCCCCTCCCCACAATCACCCTAAGGGATGGACTAGGGCTTTTGGCAAGATTCCATTACTATTTAATTATAACATAGAATAGAACAGAGCCTAGTGGGGAGCAGCTGTGAGCCTACCACTCCAGGAGTGCTGCCCCCAGGGTGGGGGCCTTGACACCCACTGAGAGTTGGCTGTGTGCAGATGAGGTGAGGAGCTACCAGTCTGGCCACTGCCCCCACTTCCTGAGGGCATCTAGCAGCACCAGTTACCCATCCTTGGATGAGCAGTGGGGCTGCAGCCCTTCCATGACTGGCACGCCCCCGGCGCCTTCCTTGCAGCCTCTGGGCACAGCGCCTGCCTTGCCCATGTGAGGAGTTGGCCTGCCCAGCCGACTGGGTATTAGCAGCTATTACCGGCAGCTCTGTCCACATGGAGCCTGCGGCTGAGGCTGTCCCGTCTCAAGTCCTGGCTCCTCACCATGTGGGGGCAGTGGCACCACTGGTCACCCAGGCTCACGGTGGCTGCTGTGATGCGTCCAGTGTGATGTGGCCTCAGTGCAGAGCAGGGACAGGGTAGTGGCCAGGGAATAGGCTCACACTTCAAGTGGTCCCACTGTTCCTTGCCCTGAATGCTTTCCTGAGGGATGAGCCAGCCCCTAGCTTGAGGTAGGGGCCTCAAGGCCATGGGGATCCGAGGCTAGTGGTCAGAGGGGCCAGGAGCAGTGAGTGTCGTCAAGCCTCAGAGGCCGGAGTCCCTGCAGGCCATCGGCCGAGCCTCTGCGGCCCTCGGGGGCCACGCTGCCAGGAAAGACGATGGTGGCATACTCAGTCTGCCCAGGGGAGCAGGTGGTGGGGGGCTCTGGGGTCTTCTCCCGCCGCTGGAAGTCCAGCTCGCCGTAGTCCACGGTGAACACGGGCACAGCCGAGGGATCCCCCTTCTTTCCGGAGAAGAGGGAAGGGGAAGTCAGCCACTTCTCTGAGTGGTTGCTGGGACCGTGCACCTGAGCGGCACCCGGGCATAGCACAGCCGCCAGGCGACCCAGACCCCACCCCACTCCCTGCCAGCCACCAAGTGTGAGGGTGTCACACACATTCACACATGCTCACACCTGTGCACACACACTTACCACACACTCATACATGTGTGCACAGAGCTGCTCACACAACACACACACATGTGTACACATTCCCCCACATGCATGTACCAGTATGCATAGTCGTTCACCTGCTGAGACAATGCATGCACCATACCTACTCAGCCACATGCCCACAATGTGTGCACACATGTGTAGACATGGGGATGTGTACATGCTCACCCACATGCAGGCACACATGCTAACAACATGTGCACACAGAGGTGCACACATGGATCCATACATGCTCACACATGTACATACAGCACTCACACACATATGGGCACACACAAGAACACACATGCTCATAAACTCACACTGGGCCATGGGAAGGTGGTGGCTGCTGTGTGTGGCCTGGCTGGAATCTGGGGGTGAGGTCTTCTCTCTTGGCACCACCCCAGTGGGTGAACCGTGGGGTCAGCAGTACAGCTGGAGGTGTCAGGAACCCAAGGGGAGGCCTACCCAGGGGCCCAGTCCAGGGAGGTCCCCATGTCCCACACACAAAGACCTCATCAATGACCCAATGTCTCTGAGCTCTGAAAGGTCTGCTCCTGTGGACTTTCACATCTAGCTCCCAGCTAAGCGGCCACCCCAACCTTGTCCTACCCAGCTGTGTGACAGGGATTGGGGGAGGGAAATGGCCTATCCTGCCTGGCCTCAGCACCCCCTCCCCTAACAGATGTCCACAGACACACATGCACACATACACACATGTGCACACATGCATACATCACAAACCTTTACATACCCAACCACACAAGACACACATGTACACACATGCATGAAACATACAGCCTTCACACAATGTGCAGACACTCATGCACACGTGTATACATATGCACAAATGTGCAATACACATAGCACTCAAAGCACACACATGCATACACAGACACACACATGCACACATGTGCCCAACACTCATCTTTATATGCACACATACACAGACTAATGTGCATTTGTGCACACACATGCACACATGTGCACAGCAAAGTCTTCACAAGTATATGCATACACACATGCATTTGTACATATGTGCACCTGACAACGCATGTGTACACACACACACACACATGCTCTCCATGACAGCATGGCCCCAGTGTCCTGGAAGTGGCAGGTGAGCCCAGGAGGCATCAGGATATGGGGGCTGGAGGCTGCTTGGAGCTGGAGTCCCAGGCTGCAGTCCTTCTGAGGCTGCCCACCCTCTGCCAGCCCCACCGCTTGTCCCCCTGCAAAGCCAGGCACACAGGGAGCAGTATGATGGCAGGAGGGGAAGGGGACTCACCAGAGGCTCACCGCTGCTCTGTGCTCTGTCAGTCCCTGCAGGGGAACATGTGTGTCAGACGCAGAAGTGCTGAGGGGCGTTTAGCCGAGGCCCCTTCCCTGAGTGCTCCGCCCACCTGTCCTAGGGGCTCTACGTCCCACTTCCTGACAATCTGGCTAACCCACCCCCTGCAGCCACATAGACTAAGAGCCCCTCATCCACATTTGCTCTCAGAGCAACTGTTTGGGGGCAGCTGTGTGCTTCTGAAGCTGGGCCAGGGGCCTGGATGTCCATGTCTCAGTGTTCTCCTGCAAGGTCAGAGCATGCAGAGTCAGGGTGTGTGTGTGTGTGTGTGTCGCTCACAGAGCCCCTCGTCCGTGGTCAGGGTGAGTGTGGGGTGTGTGTGAGGCGCTCACGGAGCCCCTCGTCCGTGGTCAGGGTGAGTGTGGGGTGTGTGTG